ATTTTTGGACCGTGTCAAATTGAATTGACTTGGGGCACCTTTGCATGTTTTGTTTGGTTTTTAGTTGGGCTTTGTTTGGCCATGCCATTTTGATTTTATTTGTTTCCTAAGCTGCATATTTATTATTTGCACTACTCCGGGTCAGTCAAGTGTACGCTTGTCCTGTTTTGAATACGGCCCATCGATTAACTGTATTTTTAAGATTTCAGAACGAATAATGATTTTATATTTCTGTAAATAAACATTGTACTACTAATTAAGTCTCTTTATACTCTATGTTACACTTGGTCACACAAAAAAGGTTGCTGCTGTTATTGCCATCATTACAAAAAAAAGAAGAAAACAGAAGCTTATCTGGCATCTGAAGAGTGAGTCCAGTTTGAAACCTCTTTTGTAAACCTTTCTAAAAATAAATAGTCAGTACAGAAAATGAAGGAAAAAAAGTTGTTAGAATTACTGTACTTCCCAAACTATAGGCGCACTCACGACTGACCATTATACAGAAGAAAAAGAACAGGGAGGGAACTGCAGCTTATTTGGCATCTGAAGAGGGAGACCTTTTTCTGTAAAACTACCTTAAAACGTTTTTAAAAAGGCGGTTCTGAAATGAGGCGTACATCAGGCCAGTAAAGAAGATGCTGCTGTTGTTGCACTTCAGTCCCACCAAAATCTGATTGGTTAAAGCAACAGTTTAATCGACATGTATTTTCTGTTAGGGGGTCCGCAGAACGGATTGTGAAGGCCTCCTGGCAGACATCTTTGACTTTGAACCTGCCTAGCAACAAATGATGGCTGAAATGTGATTGGTTAAATGCTTTAATATGAAAATACATGTCTGGAAGCAGCACAACCAGGAGAAAAGATATGAAAGGAAGCGGACAGACCACTTAGAGATACTCATGGAGTACTCATGGACAAAATATGATTAACATCAGTCTGTGATTCAGATATTGTCTTAAGCCAGCAGAGAAGGCCTTGCAGGCCCTGACGGCCCACCACTGCTCAAATCCCTGTCATTCATCCTGAAAATAAAAATACAACAAAAAGCGCCTCCCCACAGGCTAAGCTGAGGGGGAA